CCCCCTATTTTCCCATTACTCTTTCAGTGGCTCGTGCTGGGTACCAAAATACCTCCAGTCCCTTACTCAAGTAAGTAGGGACCCAGGTGTTAGTCGATTGGCGGATCGCTTTCCCGGGGTAATAATCCCTTCAAAAGCTGATAATGATGTGGTCACTTCAATCCATGACTGTTCCTGGGACACTGCTGTGCACCATTGGCTGCCACATTTCGCCAACAAAATACAAATTCACTTTAAGATATATTCTGTGACACGATTTGAGACGTCTCAACAACATGATAAGCCGTTATATCAAAGAAAGGATTATTATGTGACGATTCATAATGTGTGAGACTTCAAAATGAGTGTTGGCAGGTTATTTGAGCATGAAGAGCATCACACCTGAGTGCAATCCTATCCTGACCTCATACTCACAGTGTTGACAGAATAGGTGACCATTTGAGATTTCCTTTTTAGTTTGCCTCCCAAAAATCTCAGTACACTTGACAGTAGTTCCTGATGTGAAGCGCTTTGAGAGGTTTCACTGAATAAGGCATTATTGAAATGCAAGTTCTTTCTTTCTCAATTCAAAGGATTTAAAAAAACGACTTCAGCAAACTAAGCAAAAATGTGAAATAAATAATTTATGCAGTTATTTTATTCCTTTTACCAGGGCTGTTTGATCTTGCAGAAAGATCTGTTAGAAAATGATTGTAAAATCTTCACTGTGCGATGGTAAACTATGTCCCTAAGTTATTCATTGTACATTTTCTGCCTGGTTTACATATATATAATAATTACATATAATCATAATAATAATCCTTGCATTTGATATAGCGTCTTATTACATTTTCAAGACGTCTCAAAGTGTTTCATATAATATATTGTAAAGTGAATTGACTACATTTTATTGGCGAACTGGGGCTGCCAATTACACACAGCAGTGTCCCACAAACAGCCGTGGATTGAGTGACCAAATTATTATTTATTTTTATATATTTTTTTGAAGGGATTATTACCCCCAGAGAAGTGATAGTATTAAAAACACGTTAAATAGTAAAAGGGCTAAAAGATCACATGAAGCCTTTAGTAATTGTATTTAGAGCTGGGCAAATCAGTCCTCCTGAAAAGTCTGTTAGGTTGAAGTCAAGCTCTGTATTAGGGAGTTATTCATCGGCTTTCATAAGATCTGATGTGTCAGACACTTCTGTTTTATGGTACTGTTAGTAAATGTTCATGAGGTTGTGTGACTTTTCAGTGACTGAGGGCAACTGCGTCGATAAAGCAGCAGGCCGCAGACTTCTGAGTTCCCCTTTTCCCAAAAGAATTCTTCATCTCAGTACCACTAGTATCATTTCCTGCACACTGCACATACCCGCTCTGTGTAGGAAGTGCCACTGACGTCACGTTACAAAATAAATGGTGTTAGCGTCTCTGCTTGCTCATAGCACACATAATAATAATAATCCTTGCATTAAATTAGTTACAGGACACTTGCTTTCACATGCAACTTGTAATCTACATTTAACTTGTTGTCATTCTTTCAGAATTGTGGCATCAGTCAGCAATGAAATATCCCAAGGCTTTTCTTTGCTGAGATGATATGTGACCTTCAGATTATTGAAGCCCTTTTCTTCTGATCCCAGGTGCTCCAGAAACGTAATTTTAGTGGCACCTTAATCTCTGATTTTTGTACCAATATCAGAGTTTAATGTGGAATGATGATATAGCAAAGAGACTTCTTCACATTTCCCAGTCTGTAGTAAGTATGTGGGGGGGGTGGGGAGCGGGGATCTGGGGTGTATTCACTAGATGATGTGTTCAGCGAGAGTCTGGGAGGCTGTGAACCAGCATACTTCAATTGTGACAATGATTTCAGGTATGATTTAACCCATTGATCATCACTCCAGGACTCTTATTAGATTAGTGACAGACCTGCCACACCAGTAACAGTATCTTTGTGATACCAGAACCTGGAGCACATCCAGAGATACCACAATGATGTTTATAAGGCCCACTTTCTCGTTAGGCTAATTATTTGATTGGTTGGCTGTGGGTAGTTCTTTGGTCTCCCTGCAGGATTCCAGACTTTCCCACGGTTGGATCCTGATCACTGCTTGGGTTACTTTGCCAGTAAATATTGTCGTTGGATCAGGATTTCTATAGACTGGTTAAAAATAGCTCATTTGTATCACAGTCCGTCATCAGTCAAAAACAGCTGGAGCTCCTTCACAAAAATCTGGCTTTGCACCAAAGCAGTTAAACATTCAGAGGGGGAGCCTCCAAATGACATTGGGCAGAAAACTGACCTAACTTAATGTTTGTTAGGGAAGGGTTCAGTCATGGGCAGGACATTTGTTACAAAGTGTTTAGTGGAGAAGGCTTGATCAATTGGAATCACAAACTTGGATCAGGATTCTGCTGAATGAGGTTTGTATTTATTTGGAATTGATTATATTCGGGGGGAATTTTGGCCAGATGACAAAACAGTTAGTTATTCACAGAACCATTCTGCCGTGATACCCACGAGTGTCCTATAAAATTGCTGTTGGCGAGCTTCCAACCAGAGCTTTAAACCTTGCAGAAAATCCAGTAAAATAGAAATTGAAACTGTGGAGAATAGGGGGGCTGGGGGTGGGGCAAGTGTTGTTAGTGGGAATTCTCGGTTATTAACAATGAACTGAGAGCCAATGGTGCAAAATTGTAACCCATTGCACGATGCAAATCAGCTGATCAAAACCTGGAATCTAACCAAGTGCGAAAGGTTGCTCAGGGTAAAACAAGTTAAAGCTTTCTGCCATGTAATTGAAAAATATCTGTGCTGATTTAGTTTGACGTAGTACAGTACATGTGAGGGTGGAACATATTGAGGTGACGTGAGGCACTTGATTGTAAATGAGTTGTCAGATCTGTGAGAAAATCCCAGGAAGGCACACACTCGAGGAAATGCCACTGACCTGTCATTCGTTCCTCCCCAAAAGGAACACAAAAGTGATAGCTTGTTAAAAACTGACTAGATCGGAAATAGCTTAAAACCAAAAAACGAATAGTCTTGATTTGTGGTAAACTTCACGAGCTGCAACAGCAGCAATGTGAGTACTCTTCGCATCACTGAATAGATTATGTTTTCTACCATTAAATGATACATTGTCTTTGGACCTGGAAGTTTGTGGAGTTAGGTCCAGTATTGTTACTTTGAGCTCATGTTTAGACTGACCCTCCGGTGCAGTTCAGTGCAGTGGGAGTCCTGCATTATCCTGCATTAATACCTTTCTTCCACATGCGATTATCTAATTCCCTTTTAAGTGTCTCAGTTGACTCTGCTCCAACACCTACCCCTAGTAATTCATTCCATTTACTGCTTAGAAAAAGATCTTCCTAATTTCCCCCTTCTTGCTTCAAGTTTAATCTTAAATTCATGCTCTTGTAAGTTGCACTAGGGGATCAGTTGCTGATTTAAGCTTGTTTCCCACAGTTCTAGTCCTTAAGCTTATTAGAGTATTAGTTATCGCCATTGATAGATCACAACAAAATTTTGCCCATTGTTGATTTAAAGCTTTTTCTGTACATAAATGCATAGGACATTTATCTTTTTCTGTTGTATTAATTTGCTGTATAATAATTGCCCTCTTGTCTAGTTGCACATCCACATTATAAAGGTCTGTTGCATTATCTGGCTCAGAAAGTTGTGGGTTCAAGTTGCACTTTGGAGGTTTGGAGCTCATTGTCTAGGCTGACCCTCCTATGTAGTATTGGGGGAGTGCTGCATTGTCACAGATATAATCCTTTAGATGAGATGTTTAACTGACATTCTGTCTGCCTGTTCAGATTGATAATAAAGATCCCATGACACCCTTTGAAAAGAGAAGGGAGTTCCTCCCATAACCCAGCCAACCTTCCACCAGATAAAATTGGACCTTCATTTTATGTTTGTGGAACATTGCTGTGTGCAAATTTGCTGCCCACAACAACCACAGTCGCTGTACTCAACTGCAAATACCCATGAAGAGTTTTGAAACGTTTAGATGCTTAAATGCAAGTATTATATGTCCTGTTCAGATCGTAAGCCTCAATTGGTAGGTCTACGTTGAGATATATTTGTTCAGTGGTGGAATTCTTTCTCGCTAATTCATTTGCATTGCAGGTTATTGATCTACATGTGAGATAGTTGAGCTGGTCAGCCTATTTTTGGTTCTGCATTAGGGCTAATAGTTACCCTTCACCGTAAAATGTACAGTTGAGTTTATCTGTAAATGCAGTCACTACACTTGACAGCAATTACCTTTGAAGCACTTTGCAATGTTTTGATTTATGAATTTTTTTGAAATGCAAGGATTATTCTCACTAACTGTACTAAGCTATCTTGAGGTACGTTGCAATGGATATGGAACGATATCCTATAGGTCAAAGGCCTTTGTGATTAGAATATTCTGGGTAGCTCTGACTGAAGATCGACTAAAATAGATATAAAAGTTAATTTCACTCTTTCATAGTTCTTTCGGAGCTGGTGTCACCAATTTGTAAATTATTTTATAAGTACTCAACAGTAAATACCAGTCATTTAATGCAAGCTCATTCGAACATGCATATTTATGTAGAATTTGCATCTGACTAACCCAAGAAATATACAGCACGCAGAAGACCATTCAGCCTGTGATGTCTGTACTGGCTCTTTGAAAGAGCCTTTTACCTTTTCCCTTAGCCTTATACATTTATTTTTAAAAGATAAATCTCAGGTGTGCTAAATTCTGCTTTAAAAATGCAATCTAAACATACTGTGTGCAATTGGCTGCCGCTTTTTGCCTCCAAAATACACATCATTCCACTTTACAGTATATTTTGTGAATCACTTTGAGAAGTCTTGGAAGATATGATAAGGTGCTATATCAAATTCAAGGATTACTATTTTTTATTTTTATTAATACTGTTTTAATTTTGTTTGGGGAAAATGAGGCATTGGGTACTATTATAGAAGAATTCAAATGAGTAATTATGCCCTGTTTTTTTCTTTTCTCCCTCAGGATTTGTCAGGATCCATTGATGATTTGCCAACAGGGACGGAAGGAACATTAAGTTCTGGAGTTAGTGCGTCAGGATCCTCAAGTGGCCAAGGAGAACAGAGCAACCCTGCACAATCTCCCTTCTCCCCTCACGCCTCACCTCATCTCTCTGGTATCCGTGGCCCATCACCCTCTCCTGTTGGCTCTCCTGTTGGGAGTAACCAGTCCAGGTCGGGACCGCTTTCCCCTGCAGGTGTACCAGGTATATTGATTTATGTTGGTTCAACATGTTGTGCAGTTAGCAGTACCTTTTTGCAGCCGTGTTTTTCCAGGCACTTCCAGAAATATTATTGCTCTAATTAATGTCAACTCAAACAACAGCAACATGTGTATAGCTCCGTTCACATCAGGAGGACTTCCCAAGACGCTGGACAGTCAGGAATCCGCACCCGAGCTGGAAAGGAGCTCATAGAGAGCTGCATAGAGCTTCTTTAAAGGGGAGAACTCTTAACCGAGTTTGAAGATGAATTGCTTTTAAAATCCCCGAAGCTTACATCACATTCCCAGTTGGTAATCTTTTTAAAATACTAAAATGTTAAAGTCCCAATGTCATAGAAATGTGCCTTTATACAGATTGCACCTGTTTAATATTTGTCATAGAAATGCAGTTGGTTTGGTCTGCCTCCTTAATTGTCTTCTGTTGAACACTCTTCCTCTATTCCTCCGCCTCACCCCTTCCTTCCCCATCTTCAGATCGCGCCTGAAGACCTTCCTCTTCGACCGTGTCTACGGTCGCCTCCCCCTCCCCCGGCTTGGCGTCGTGCTCCGCCATTGTCAAGCGCTCTGGGACCTCTGTGTGAAGGGTGCTATATAAATGCAAGTTGTTGTTGATTAAGTAAGCTGTTGATGGCTTATACAAATGGCATTTACAGAAGTGCTTGCTCTCAGATACAAGAAAGTTGGAGGGGAACCTTTAATATTCAGTGTTGTACTGTACTCTGAAGATAAAATGTGAGCCATATGGGTGATGTGAACAGAGACAAAAACATGTATTTTTTATGTTAAACCAATGTAAAATGGTACAACGCTTTGTGTGAATGCTGCAAAATGATGGTGTCTTTCTGAAACTTTTAATTCTACCATGTGTGTAGTCTCTGAGTATATAAGCCTGTGCAACGTTGCAAACACAACACATCAGTGCACCTGTTCAGTACACACCACTAGGAAGCCCAGCAGTTAATGTATTCCTTCCTCTTTAACTAGTGTGTGTGCGGTCACAGCAATAACTTGAAAGTAATTATTAGATTTTCATCAAATTTGAACTTCCTGCCTGCCTGCTTTGTCATCAGAGTCTTTGTGAAAGCACAGTGAATCTCCACAAATGGGTTCCGAATTGCATGATTTGCAGATAGCAAATCTCACAGGGCTGCCAGGCTGTCCTGCTAGAACTCTGCTCAGTTGCCAATCTCAGTCCCAGTTTCCATGAGCTTGGCGCCCAAGCTGAATCGCATTCGGGTTGGCCCTGACACGTCCGTGAATCGCTGTTTACAAGCTCTAATGCAAATCCTGCCAATTTCCAACCCAATGAGTCCTGTCAACTCCAGGACCACTGCTGTTGGACATCATGTCCTGGATGAGGGCAAATTTCCTACAGTTGAATATGAACAAGACTGAGGCCCTTCTGATTGGCTCGCGCCAGCGCCTCTGTACCTCAGGCTCCGGCAGCATCAACCTCCATGCACACTACAACTCACCAAGTCAGTCAGGAACCTTGATGTCTTAAGAGCATAAGAATATAAGAATTAGGAGCAGGAGTAGGCCATTCGGCCCCTCGAGCCTGCCCCGCCATTTGATAAGATCGTGGTTGATCTTCAAACCTAACTCTAATGACCTGCCCTATCCCCATATCCCCTAATCCCTCTATTTTTTAAAAATCTATCAGTCTCAGCCTTGAAGATGTTCAAGGACTGAGCATCTACAGCCTTCTGGGGTAGTGAGTTCCATTCCTCAGGCCTCTGCCACTACCTCACCCCTCAGGCCTCTGCCACTACCTCACCCCTCAGGCCGCTGAAACTCTTGTTCATGCCTTCATCACCTCCAGGCTCAACTATGCAAATGCTCTGCTTGTCGGCCTTCCCAACTCCTCCCTCCACAGGCTGCAGATAATCCAGAACTCTGCAGCCGTGTCTCTCCCGCACCAAACTCCGTGACCCTATCTCCCCCACTCTCGCCTGACTCCACTGGCTCCCTATCCTTCAGAGGATCCAGTTCAAGATCCTGGTCCTCACATACAGAGCCCTCCATGACCTCGCCTTCACCCTATTTACGAGGATGGTACCAGGAATGAGGTACCTTGATTATGAGGAAAGGCTAGAGAGGCCAGGATTATTCTCACTGGAGCAGAGAAGTTTACGAGGAGATCTAATAGAGGTCTACAAAATCATGAGGGGATTTGATAGGTTAGAAAGGGAAAAACTGTTTCCACTGGTGGGTGTGTCGCAGACTCGAGGTCATAGATTCAAAATAGTCTCTAAAAGAAGCAGAGGGGAGGTGAGAAGAAATGTTTTCACGTAGCGAGTTGTTCGAATCTGGAACACATTGCCTGAAAGGGTGGTCAAGGCCGATTCGATAACTACTTTTAAAAGCGCGGTGGACGGGTATTTGAGGAGGACGGGTTTGCAGGTTATGGGGAAAGGGCTGGGAAGTGGGATTGACATTACATTGCTCTATTCAAAGAGCCGGCACAAACTTGATGGGCCGAATGGCCTCTTTTTGTGTTGTACAATTCTATGATTCTGTGATACTTCTGCGACCTCCTAATCCCCTACCAACCCGCCTATCCCCTCCGCTCAGCCGGCTCTGGCCTGTTCCACCTCCCCCGACCCACTCGCCCCACCATTGGCGGGAGAACCTTCAGCCACTCTGCCCATAACCTCTGGAATTCCATCCCCCAGTCAATCCGCCTCGCCCCCTCCTTAGCCTCCTTCAAGTCCTGTCTCAAGACTCTCCTCTTCGACCATGCCATCGGCCACCCACCTTCTCCTCCCCTCCCTTTCCCCCCCAACCCCAGCTCGAGTCTGAAAACTCTGTTCAGCGCCTTGGGACATCCTCCCAACGTGAAAGGCGCTATACAAATATAAGCTTGTTGTTGCTGAATACTCATTTCCCAGCTCATACCCTGTGCTCGAGGTTTGAATCTGGACTAATAATAATTCTTGCGTTGGATATAGCACCTGATCGTGCCATTGAGACGTCTCAAAGCGCTTCACACAATATACTGTAAAGTGTAGTTTTGTGGGTGAAACGCTAAATTTGTGCTGAACTAAGTGACCAGACCTGGATTAAGTGCGTAACAGCCGTCATTGGTCTCTTCATGCATTTATTTTGAGCTATTGATGTATATTTGGGACTTAAAGTAATTATTCTACTGTACTATATGTAAAGTTGATGGATGACTTCCTTTTTCCAAACTTTTGAATGCTCTCCAAAAAGCGTATGGGCTTGCAGCTGATAACCTACATCAAATGCAAGGATTATTATTTCACATGTTAACGTTTATTCTAACTCGGTTGATGGCACTCTCTCATCTTGGTTAGAAAGTTGTGGATTCAATCTAGGTAGAATTTCAATACAGTGCTGGGATGTGCTGCACTGTTGGAGGTGTCATCTTTCAGATGAGACGTTAAACCGAGATCCCATCTGCCAGTTCAGGTTAAAGACCCCATCGCGCTATTTAAAAAGAGAAGGATGCTTCCCCTGGCCAACAATCCCCCAGATAAAATTGGCCACACAACTGAACCATGTTCTGACGAAGGGTCATGGACCCGAAACGTTGACTCACTTTCCTTTCTCCATAGATGCTGCCTGACCTGCTGAGTTTTCCCAGCGACTTCTGTTTTTGTTTCCGCCTTTCTCACATGTCTCCTGGTCAAAAATGAAAAGAAAAGGCAGAGTATCATTTGTTTAATTTAGGTTTTAAGCATTATTGCTTTGTCTCTGATTAGTGAGAGTGATTGACATATTATATCTATTATGCCCAGACGTTTACATCCATTTTATGCAGCAAACCTTGAATGCTATTCAAGCCATTGGATCAGTTCAGTTAGTAAAACTATTTAGTCACTGAGCCAAATCAGCGTAGAGTTCCAGTTCTGGCTGCTCGAGCACAGATGGTGGAAAACTGGCCTGACAGTTCACTGTTGCCAACTGTGGCTCAAGCATCTCCACAGCTAGCATCGTTCTTTGACATGCACAAAAACGGCCTTCTACTCCAACATCATCTTGGAGGCTAAACACAACCCTAAAATCCTTTTTTCTATCACCCACTACCTCCTCCGTGCCCCCCCTCGGCCTCCTCAATCTTATAATAATAATAATAATCCTTGCATTTGATATAGCGCTTTTCACGTCGGGAGGACGTCCCAAAGCGCTTCACAGAACACACTGTAAAGTGAATTGACTGTATATTTGTGGGCGAACGCGGCAGCCAATTGCGCACAGCAATGTCCCACAAACAGTCATGGATTGAAAATGACCAATTTTATTATTGTTTTTGGTTTTGGAGGGATTATTATTAGGCTCTGTGTGGAGTAAGGAAACTTGCCCAAGGTTTCGCCCTCTGCCTGGAATTGAACTCAGGTCTCTAGCTTGCAAAGCGAGTGCTCAACCACTGAGCTACAGGACTCCTCAATCTTCATATCAAATGCCTAATGCGAGGAGGTCATGGACTTCTTTTCATCTAAAATTCATAACATCCGCCAGACAGCCTCATCCACCTGCCCATGTCACCCACCACCACCCCCTCTCTGTCCCCCTCACCCTCACCATCATCTGCTCCTACCACCACCCCCATCCTACATTCCTTCCTCCCCATCTCTCCCTCCTCCCTCTCACCCACCATCACTTACATGAAACCCACCACCTGCTGCCTCGACCCCCTCCCCACCAACTTGCTGGTCACCCAACTCCCCCTCCTCTGCCCACTGCTGGCTGACGTCATCAACCAGTCCCTCTCCTCCGGATCAGTCCCTGTCTCCCTCAAAACTACTGTCATCACCCCCTCCTAAAAAAACCCTCTCTAAATCCCTCAAACCCCAGCCACTACCGCCCTATTTATAACCGGCTCTTCCTCGCAAAAGTCCTAGAATGCATTGTTGCCAACCAACTTCGCGCACACCTCTCCTCCCACTCCCTCTTCGAACCCCTCCAGTCCGGTTTCCACTCTGCCCACAGTACAGAAACTGACTTGTTAAAGTCACAAAC